TGACGAATTCCTTCAAGGGTTAATTCATCGGCCAGTCCTGACTCTCCAATAATATAAGTTTTCTTCTCTTTTGGAAAATTTATAACATTCTTGAGATAATAGGCTGTCGCATAAGAAGAGCCAAATATCTCATCCTATTTATTGTCGTAGATCATAATGAAATTGGATTAAAACCCGAGGATTCTATTTAACCCTTAAAACCCACTTGTTTATTATAAATCTATTCCTAAAGCTGGCTCCTAACGCTAAAAAAAAAAAAGCATCCCAAAAATTGTATGTTTTGGTGGCTTGCCTATTTTTAACCTAATTTTATTTTAACCAGTCGCATTTATTGCATTATGAAAAGTAGAATAAGATAGGCCAAGATCGTTATATTACCTCATTTGCTTCAATATTCAATTTCTTGAATTTTAAAAGATAATCAGCACGAGATTTTGAACTATTGTTCGTGACGAACAAAATTCTTTTACCTATAAAAATAGACAAAGTTACATAAACTATAGAAAATAAATTCATAAATTACCATTTAAAATTATTTGCCTTTCTTTCTCATATATGATATGACCTCCGGAACACCTGATATTACATCATTATCCCTCCACAAAACACCTAGAGGATGTTAATATAATTAACTAGAGTACAAATATCGATAAAAATATTAAAAAATTGATCAGTACCATCACAATCAAGCAAGAACGTATCGAATTTGTCAATAAAGTTTCCATAGTCTGATATATTACAAAGTTTAATCGGTTTTGACATGATGATAAAAGGAATTTGTGGTAGGTTGAGATGGTTTGATCATTTTTATATGTATTTCCAGCTCGATCATGCCTATTTTTGTAATCTTAATCGTAATTGATCAATTGATTACAACGAATGCTAAAAAAAGAATGATCATCGTAACGATAACGTCTGTCATCGTACTGAGTGTCCTAAAACGGCGGATTACGGCAACCGGTTTAATCAACGTAAATTGCGAGAGAGCGTGTTAGATTTGACGAATGGTGCAACAATAGGATGTTCAATCGATTAATTAATCAAAGCATAATTAGGGTCATCTATCTATCTATAATATCTATCTATCTATTATTGTATATCTTATATTAAAAATTTCGGAATAAACCGATTTTGATTGGTTAGTTAAGGTCATCGTGATTTGTGTTACCTAATGGATCTTTGCTAACAAAATCACCCTTCTGATCGGGCTGATTCAGAAAACTTAGGCCAGAGTACCAGCACTTATTTATATGTAAAATATCTTTTACGATAGTCCATTTAATAAATTATTACATCAATAAAAGTAAATGATAATTTACATATAAATAAGCACGGGTACTCTGGCCTAAAATTTTCCGAATTAGCCCGATCGAAAATCTCGAAGGGTAATTTTGTTAGCAAAAATCCCATATTATAATACAGTTAATTATTGCGGTTGCAAAAAGATGTGGCCGCGTGATTTCTGTGATGATGCTCGGAGAAAATCTCTGATTTTAGATTGTTTTTTATATTTTCGAACGGTTACGTTTATATTTCTTTGAAATCGATAAAATTCTTAAAATCTATGGACAGAGGCTTCATCTTTTTGCAAAGCGCAATAATAAATACACATGAAAATTAACCGAGACTAATTCATAATGATTGGTCTTCGAAACTGATAATTTTCGGTTTTCAACCTCATAACAATTCGGATTCAAATTACGGTCTTAACTGATAAAATCAGTATAATTTTTTATTTTTTCATTCAATTATTGCGGTTTGTATAATTTGAGATCATGATTAATTTTTTATGAAAAATGATTGCGATTGTGATCACGATTGCTAAAGCCAGTCAATTTATCATGAATCTGACTTGTGTCAAGCTCAGATTTATGATAATTGACCGGCTTTAACAATCGCGATCGCAATCACAATCATTTAATCATAAAAAAAAAATTAATCATAGGGGTTACAAAATTATGCAAACCACAATAATAGCAATGAAAATTTATTGCTTTTATTTTTCAATATTTTTCAAAACGTCAAGACATACAGCAATATCAATATAAATGATTCTTTAATTAATAAGGGTTTTAACATTTTATCTGTCGCTTTTAACAGATTTGATTATTTATTTTTTTAGGTTTATCGATTTCGTCCACATTTTAAACACCTAAAAAAGAATGGCCTATGATATTGCAATTTACACATATCAGTATGGCATGGGCGACCATATTTGTACGGTATGAGGTGCAAAATACCTTATTCTAAATCTGTACCATATTGATCCGGTGTCATATATAACTGTATTAGGTTTAGAACTATCTTATATTAAAATATAATATGGTATACTTTTTAAATAGATACAGTACTTTACACCCTTACCATACTATTTTGATTATCAATATTATATTGATCTTCTGTAATCTCATCTTTGATTATCACACATCTTTTAGGTTTAGAGATCAACAAAAATCCTATCCTAAAATATTACCAAAAAACAAGCTTTTTGTATTAGCAAAGAATTTTCTTGCAAGATTTTAATCTCGATCTACTTGTCTGTTGTTTTAAATGATGTTATAACAAAATTTGTGAAAGCTTAGTTTTTAGATACAGAAGTATTTAATAGATTTACACGTACATTTAAAATAATGCAAGTTACATTTTCTATATTAGTATCTAGGAAAATTTTAAGTATATATGGTATATATATATAATATGTTATATAGTTAGTCTAAAAGTCCTATGTGCGGAGTTTCAAATTGTGCTTACAAATAATTAAGATTAAATGATTTGTAAGCACAGTTTGAAACTCTGCTATTAGACTAGCGACATATCACTATGGCGATAATTATAAAATTCGATGAACTATCATAAATGAGATAAGAAAATGATACTTCAAGCTTTTAATTTTGTAATTCATATGGTGTGATCATGCGCAACAAATTTTAGCAGATCTGCCAAAGTTAGGCTGGAATGCATCGGATTTAGGCCGGCTAATAATAACTATATATATAATATATTATAGCAAAATTAGCGTCTAGGTAATTTTATTTAGCGCGTGAATTACTGGATTATTAGCAAAATTTATCAATTCCGTC